GGGACAAAGAGAGAACTGGGGGCTAGGGGGGTGTTTATTTTGGGCTCTTGTGCTATCACCTTCTGGGTGGCTTGATTGCCGAGTCAAGAGAGACAAGCTGCCTTGGGAGACAGACTTCCTCCCGCAGCCAGCCCACACACACATCCATCCCCTATTGGGATTTGGTCACGCGCCTCCTAATCTCTTCCAGGGCTCCGGCAGATCTCTTAGATAGAATGTGCTATGGAGCAACCTCTCAGTCATCCAAGCGCAGCATGAGCTCCTGAGCATCCCTGTATCCAGGATTGATCATGATAGGGTCTTGGAACAGAGGAGACAGATGTCCCTGGTACTGAGCCTGACTTATCAATCCCCAGTGCTGGGACATGAAAAAGAAACTCTGGCCAGGGCCTGTGCCATTGGAAAACGGCCTCCTTCTAGTGTCAGCCAGGCTGCCAAGCAAGCTGGCCAGACTGCAGTCTAGGAATCCGAGAGCAGAGGCTCTCCTGGACCAGATGGGCCCCCCTGCAAACCGGCTTCTTACTGAGCTCCTGCACTCCCCGTCCCCCACCAGAAGGCCATCTCTGCATTTGGCTGGGTTGATCCACCTTGTGTTTCTAGCCTCCAGCCCTTCCCAAAGTTACAGCGGCCGTAAACGGTGCTCCGTGATGCTGCTTGTTACCTGTTCGTCTGTGAGTTGGGGAACTATATATTCCAGACTGGAGCTCTTTCTGGAGTGAAAGGAGGAACAAGAGGTGTCAACTAGGACACCCTGGGCAAACAGGGGTAAACACACACCCCACACATAGTTGGTTGGGGCTTGACTCCATGGCAAGTATGCTGGAGCCTACCATGCTCTCGGGGAGTGAACTAGGAAAAAAGAGAAGCATGGTGTCAAGAAATCTCTGAGGGCTATGCTGAAGTGACAAGGAAGCCTCAACATTTCAGCGGCTTCGTTTAATAAGTGTTCATTGCTCGCTCGTGTCATAATTTCAGCCTTCCTCCAAGGGCTCATGCTAGGATCCAGGCCATTCCTGTCTTGCAGCTCTACCGTCATGGGCTTTAAGGCTGCTTGACACCCTCCAGGGGCAGAGGGGGATGGAGAGAGAGCAGTAGGAGGTAGCACAGGATATTTTATGGCAGGGTCTAGAAGTGGAGCTCATCCCACAGCTTACATTCCGCTGACTGGACACCACCACGTGCTCCCACCTGGCACAAGGAGCCTGGAAAAGAGTGAGACCCTGATATGGACAAGGATCAGCCATCACTACCACAGTGGACACTAAGAAACAGTATCAAAGTGGGAAGGGAAGACAAAAGAAGGAACAGTCCAAGGGACGAAAGCAAGCATTGTACAGCATCCCACTGAGAACCAGAAAGATGATGTCATCATGGTCTTATAAAGTCACCTCTCAAATCTTGATATATGGGAATTGCAAACACCACACAACGTCCCATCATATGCATATTCTGCACCGGGTGTTGCCTGATTCAGCCTCCTGGACTGTAATGCTACCCTTCCCTCTTTCGTGCAAGAAAGCACATTAGGGAGTGCAAGTGATTATTATTAGAGACAAAACCTGGAACATATTCCAATTTTGTTTCTTTTTGGTGGAATTCATTTACGAATTTAGTGTTTTATTCATTTGATATTTAATATTTACTGACCAGACTCTGCTTGAGATAAATGAGGGATAGCAGTGAACTATGATAATGATAGCTGACACCTTGAGGGCTTGTTTACCACACACAAAGTACGATTCTAAGCACTTTACGTGAATTGATTTACTCCATCCTTACAACAGTGTTTTGACAGAGATGTGATTATTGTCCCCATTTTAAAGATAAGGAGACTGAGGCACAGAGAATTTAAATAGCTTTTGGAAGTGTGGCAAGAAGTAAGTGGCAGTGCTAGGATTCCACTCTGAAGTCTTTTTTTTTTTTTCCCAAAATTTTAATTCATTTGACAGAGCGCATGTGCGCACAAGCAGGGGGAAGGGCAGAGGCAGAGGGAGAAGAAAACTCCCTGCTCAGCGGGGAGCCCTATGCGGGACTCGATCCCAGGACCCTGGGATCATGACCTGAGCTGAAGGCAGACGCTTAACGACTGAGCCACCCAGGGGCCCCAGGTCTGAAGTCCTCTTAACCACTCTGCCGTGTGGGCAAAACCCCTGCCTTCCTGGAGTTTACATTCTTTTGAGTAGACTGACAATAAACATATAAACAGATTATATCAGTGTAGAGAGTGATGAGTGCTTTGAGAAAAGCAAAGCACGGTAAAGGGTACAGGATTGAGGCACACTGGGCACTATTGTTTCACACCTACATGTCCCCATGCCCTGTTTGATAGCCCCTGGCTTGCAGAGTCTTTCTTTAGTGAAAACTGCCCTCCATGCCGCTTTGGAGTGACTTGGAAGAACCAACCAAAATAGATGTCTTCTCTCTCCTCTGACAATACCTTTGCCCAGAGCCATTGATTGGTTGGACAGCGAGCAATGCTGCTGGTCCTAAGTCATTTCTGCTCTTGGCCAGCCAGCCGGCCAGGTCAGCGAGAGATGACTGATGTCCACATTAATAATGAGCAACGGCCCCACACAAGTAATCACCTTCCCCAAACTTGTCCTCATGGGGGTGATTTTCTGGACCCCAGATGAAGTATATTCTTCTCACCTCAACACCAAGGAAGTTACACTCATTCCCCTGGCTGACAGCAGTTTATAGACATGGGTCTGGGTAGTTGGACATTTACGAGGTTGCTAAGAAACAAACGCTTTGGTTACAAAGGTCTCCAAAAGCAGCACTGGTTTGTTGTATCACTTTGTATCATTTATTTTATCCCATAAAGACAGCCATGACCAATGGGATATGGGGTAGAGGAAAGCTAAATAACAAATACTTGTTTTCTGAGAGATGGGGAAATTTCCACTTCCTAAGCAACCACCAACACCCCCCCCCCAGATGGAAAAACTGGAACCATATACTTCTCTGATCATTACAATTTGCAAATAAGTAACTCATAGTCTCGAGGTACTTAGTAACGTGGTTATTCCCTTCCATGCACTGCCCTAAGCATTATGTCATGTCATCCTTATAACATCTCCGAAAGTCGAGTATTATTATTCCCTAGCATGCAAACCAGGAAGAGGCTAAAAGTCGATTGACCCAACTTCAAACAATAGCAAGTAGCAGTCAGAATTCAAACCCAGCATTGTCTGATGGTAAAGCCTTTGCACTTCGGATTACAGACTCTTTGTTTTCAATGATCACGTTTCAGATGGGGAAAACTGGCAATTCTGATGATGGGGAAGTCACATTAATAGATTCCTGGAGTTTAATTCTATGAAGTTCATGAAAGAGGTTATAGTCAATGTCTATTACCTATAAAATCCCTTTTTACGGAGGGGAAGTGGTGAGAGAGAGCTTAATCCCACAGTAGAGGTTTTTATCTGCTAAAGACCTGCACTTTGAATGTTCTCTGGAAGTCACAGTGCAACTGACTTTTCTGTGCAGTGATTTTGAAAGAGTTCATAAGATTAGCACATTTCTACAGGTGTCTTATGGATTTTCTTGTCGACAAGTAAGAGACATTGGTGTCCTCTGCCTTTTCTTTCATCCTCTCTGTCCCGCCCATGGTCAAGCGGTGTCCCTTCTTTCTTAAAAATATTCCTCCAAAGTTGTCTCCTCTCCTCATTGACTGTCCTGATCAAGACCCCTGTCACATCATACTTGAGCTTCTACAATCACTGCCCAACTGGTCTTCCTGGTTCTTTTCATTCTCCTCTCTGCCATATCCTGCCTGCAAATGCATTCCTCAAACCAGTCCTTTTATTGCATCAGTCACAGCTCAGGGATCATCAGTGGCTCCCACTTGCCCACCAGAGGATTTCGCCATTCTCTAGGACAGAGCTCTCTTGGGTCACACTGGCTCCCTCCATTCCCCTCATCTTGGTAGCCTTCGTTGGCCACTCTGTCTCTCACTGATCACTTCTAATTAGGAGCCCAACTTCCACTGAAACAGAACTTCATACTTAATTGCTGGCTTATCTGAGAGAGCTAGGTCTAAGTTTTTGCTTGGCCACTTAGTTGTTGTGTGACTCTTGACAAGTTGTTTGGCTTCTCTGAGCCTCAGTTTTCTTACCTGTAACATGAGATACAAAGAGTACTTATCTTTAGGGTTTTTGCAAGAGTAGAATGAAATGATGATGGTGGTGATGATAGCTAGCTAACGTGTATTTTGTGTTTTCTCTGTGCCAGGCACTGCTCTAAATATTATCTTATTCCTCACAACAACCTGTTAACATAGGTACTATTATTTTCTGTTTTGCAAATGGGGAAAGTGAGACACAGATAGGTAACGTAGTAAGTGACAGATTCCCTCCCAGGTAGTCTGGCTGCACAGATCTCATTCTTTTTTTTTTTTTTTTAATTAAAGTAGAGTTGACATACAATGTTACCTTAGTTTCAGGTGTACACCATAGTGGACACAACCCTCATTCTTAACTAATCTGCTATACCACCTTCCCCTGGTAAATGATCAGTAAATGATAGCTGGTAACATAGGTCTATAACTCCTTATCTGAAACTCTTGCCAAGCCAGATGATTTTTGGAATCCAGAATTTTGGGAATCACAACAAAGTTATACTTGGCATATACTAGGTATTATATAACACCCCAGTGGAGACTGGAACAATAATCACCCTCCTTCCCTCCGTCTCTCTCTCTCTGTGTCTCACACAAGAAAAAACATAAAAGTTTCGGCTTTAAAGCTTTTTGGATTTCAAACAGCAGAAAAGGGATTGTGCCTATAGTAATAAAACTATTAGCAATAATTATAAGCATAATAAATGGTGACTTAATGTTACAACTGTTGTGACTCTTCTTTTTTACTGGATGAGCTCATAGTAAAATGTGCTCAAAAGTATTTTTCAGCTAACTAATGGGGTGGGAGGGGAAGGTGCTAGTCATGGGACCAAATCTATAACCTCTTTCACACATGGAGTTCTCTCTCTTCTTTCCCTAGTATGACTTCATGGAGCGTCTGGATGGGAAGGAGAAGTGGAGTGTGGTTGAGTCACCCAGAGAACGCCGGAGCATACAGACCCTGGTTCAGAATGAAGCCGTGTTTGTTCAGTACCTGGACGTGGGCCTGTGGCACCTGGCCTTCTACAATGATGGCAAAGACAAAGAGATGGTTTCCTTCAACACTGTTGTCTTAGGTAGGTAAGGTCTCTGAGGTGATATGCCACCAAGGGAAGAATGGAAACGTTCTAGGTTTCTCCATAGAAGACGCATCTTCCAACGTAGTTTCTACTGAAACCAGACCAGAATCCTTTATTTAGGCCTCATGGTATTTTCCACCTAAAACTAGCCCCGATTAAAATAGGAAGACTGCTTACAGGATCCAGTCATGGTAAAGAGCTTGGGTCAGACAGGCTGGCTCAAGTCCTGGCCACAAAACTACGCAAATCACCGGACTTCTGTAAGCTTCAGGTTCCTCACAGTAAAATAGAACTAACTAGTACACACTGCATAGGGCTATTGTAAGAATTAAATAACATACAATACATAAATCTCTAAATATGCAGTAGAGCCAATAAATACAGACCATTCACATCAGCTCCCAGAATTTCTCTTAAAAATCCAGGAAAGTTTAAAATCAAAAGTAAAAAAAAAAAAACAACAACATAAAAATAAATCAAGAAAAGGATATAGACATAAGGAAAATAAAATCATATCTTTGTTCCCAAGTAGGTAAATCTTAAAATGCTTTAATTAAACACTTGTCATTTTTGGCATGTTTTAGCCCTGCTTTTTATTAGCTATCAAAGGAGAAGCTATGGTTTTATTCAAAATTTCCTCTTATATTTGCATATAAACCCCCAAAAGGGCCATTAGTTTGAGAGGATTTTATGAAGTTTTCTAAAGCAAACCTTAAGAATGTTAACAATCACATAAGCTACAGATACTTTCATTAAATTTATGTTGTCATTAGGTTTTTATCCTGATGAGGATAACAGATCCTGGGTGGAATGTCCGTGAGTTTGGGCAGAGTGTAGGACACATTTCACAGAGGAATCCACTGAGGCTCAGAAAACTCAGTTCCTCCAGGTCCCAGGATGAGGGCATGGTAGAAATGGATCAGCTCTGGGCCTTCATGCATGTCATCCCCACGGTGTTGAGTTGTGGTTCTCGAGGTTCACCGTAGGAGCAGTGTCATGAGGAGAGACCTGGTGAGAGAGGATCAAATCCCAGGTCTTCTGGCCCACATCCTAACTGGGAAAGTCACTTACCTCCTGGCCTCAGTTTCCTTTGTGAAAAGGACCATGTCCCTGATGGGGAGGATGACGTGACTTTACATACACATCACGTCTGCAGTGGAGCTGGTTGTCACGAAATGAGAGTGGATGGTTGTTTAGGAGCACCTGTTTTTCTACTGACCACATTCTCAGAACTTCTTGACTGGCCTCATGGATTTCTCTGAGGGGTTCCTTGATTCTCGAAAGATCTAGGGAAGCCAACCTAAAATTCAGGGGGCAGATTTTATCAGTGGCCACAACTTCCAAATAGTATAAAATCAGGATTTGGTATTGACCGTAGCATTACAGTTAAACCTTATTCCCTCTGCTAAGGAAAACTTGGTCCTATCAGGACTAGCCAAATGCTCTAAGGCATGGGTTGGCACACTGTAGCCCATGGGCTAGGTCTGGCCCTCTGCCTGTTTTTATAAATAAAGTTTTTCTGGGGCACAGCCATGTTCATCTGTCGACATATCGCCTATGGCAGCTAAAACAACAGAGCTGAGTAGTTGCAACAGAGACAGCTTGGCCGACAAAACCTAAATATTTACTTTCTGTCCCTTTACAGAAAAAAGTTTCCCAACCCCCACTCTAAACTAATGTCATAAACTTTGTATCATGGAAGCCACTGGAAAACATCTTCCACGGGTAGAGAAAATTCCCAGAATCAGATTATGTACCCATGGGGGAAAGAAAGCAAAAGGGATTAAAAACCAGCTCACAAAAGGAAAAAAAAGAAGTTTGAGTTGTTGAGATTAAAAGCAGTCTTTAGTTTAAGAACATGATGAGAAATGACATCCTTTTTGTCACCTTGTATTTAAGCTGAAAATGCTTAGCACATACATAAGAGCACACGCCATAATCAGCAGCTGGCTTGGTTGGAGTCTACAGGGACTCGGTGAAATGGTTAATAGCACAAACAATAACCACCACACATTTATGGAGCACCGACAATGGGCCAGCCTCTGGATTAGGCCCTCTGTGGGGAATAGGCCGGCAAACCCATAGAGTAGTTATATGAAGTAAGTACTCCCAAAATTCTATTTTCTAGTTGAGAAGCCAAGACTGAGAGAAGTTAAACAACTTGCCCAAGGTCACACACGGTAATTGGGGGGCGGAGTCGGCATCCAAACTCTCCAGAGAACTGTGCTCTTAACCACTGGGTTGCTTTGGATTCCGGCCAAATAAATGCCTTTTCCCCAGCACAGCAAGTTTTCTGGGGGCCAGATTATCTAATAATGGCTTCTGCCCTCCATCTCCTTTATCCACATAGACACAGATGTTGTGGTAGTGATATGCCCTTCCCCCAGGCCATTACCCTCGTTCGCTTGTCAGAGATGGGAATAGCAATTCTCCCCAGAGGATTTCTCTCGTCTGGACTGTAGCTCAAAGAGAAAGTCAAAGGTAATCGGCCTAATAATTGAGCAGGCATCTTGATAGAGCAATGATAGTAATTGGCCTGAAATGCAGGGAAAAGAACAGTGTTTTATTTGGTTCAGAGGTTCTCCCACACATATCTATTATCAGAATGTTCTCCATCAAGAGCAGCCAGGAGCGCCGAAAGCCCCTGTGATAGGAAACAGAAGGAAAAATGTTAGACGGCTGTCAACCAGCGATCACACTAAATACACCTTTGACTCAGGGAAGTCTTTTGATGTGTTTTGGAGAGAAGCAGCCTGCTTTCAGAAATGAGTTTCATCTCAGGGGACCACAGAGGGGCATACTTGAAGCAACAGTGCAGATTTAGTGGAGGCCGCCCTCCGCCTGTGTAAAAACCCCATTTCCTGGGCTTCCTCTCAGCACCTGCCATTGTTTCCTCAAGAAAACCTAAACCAGGCTGACGGAAAGGAAAACTGATAATATCGCCACCGTGATATGTCTTCGAGGATTGCAGAAGGGGGACCAGAAGGGTGGGCTCCTTTTAGAGCTCAGCTGGACCACGTGTAGAAAATGTAGAAATGCTGAGAGAATGCAATGAAAAATACTCTTCACTTTTTGCTTATTTTGGATTCTCCTGCCTTCCTGCATACACACGTGTGCACACACGCACACACACACTCTCTGACAACAGTTTACCAAGGGCCTGCTGTGTAACAAGCATTGAGAATACCTCAGTGAATGATGCAGATCTGGTCTATTCCCCATGGAGCCTGATGGGGGAAGACAGACACATGAAATGGCAACTGCGGGAATTACAGGAACGTAGGGAAAGGGGTCAAAACCCTTCTTAATTGAGGGAAGGTGGGGAAGGAAGATGCTCAGGAGCTAAATATTTTCTAAACTGACATTGAAGGATAAATACCTCAACTGAAGGGCAAGAGAGGCCTTCCAGCCCCACAAAGAGCCCATGCAAAGAGCTCAGTCCTTTTCCATGAGATTCTGGTGGGCAAAGAGCTCCCTCGACCTCTGCTGCTTTATCTTCGAAGATGTTAGGTTTGGGAACAGGGAGCTTTGCGTTCAGAGATGTCAGTTTCCACCAAACCATGCCCAGACCTAGATGCTGGTCTAGAGAGAAGCAATCTCTACCTCACTGTAGGGGTGACTTCTTAAAATGCAAGCTGGACAGTGCCGTTTCTATGTTTAAAGCTATTTGTTCCCATTGGTCGCAGAAGAAATATATATTATATCAGCCTGTATTGTCCATGGCAGTGAAAATTCTATGAGATCAGAGACCTTGCCTGGACACACCTTGCATTCACCAACGCCTACTATAATGCCTTGCATATAATAGGTTTCTAGTTAATAAAGTGAGCCATACATACATCAGGAACTGTGACAGCTCTGAGAGCTCACCCTAATTGTAACCTAACATGTTAGCCTGCTAAAATTTCATAGATATTATCAGAAAACATGAGACTCCTGGGTCAGAGACAAGGGCCTTTATTACTCAGAGCAATGCAATATCCAGATACTAGTAAATGTTCCAGTCCCCCAAGCCCCAGTTCCCACAGGGCAATATCAACAGGGTCAGCTTGTACCTGCACATGCAGTAGATTGTATTACAGAAAAGAAATCCTGGGTTTAGTGCACCTGAGTCTCTCAGAATGGGCAGTGAGCCTACTTGTTCTTTGCTCTAGAGGAAGATACTGTCCTTATTACACTGGCGAGTAAGTAAACCTGTCCTTTGCTCTGGAGGCAGACACCTTATCTGTCTTCCAAGGTGGTTCACTATGCAGACAACCTTGAAAAGATAGTCCAGAACTAAGGCAGTCGGTGCCTCAGCTAACAAGACATTGAGAAACACGAATGGAGGATTGGAGACATGGAGAATTGTCTCCCAAAACCATGTGAAATTGCTGACTTTTGGTCTGCCCAAGCAACTGTTTGGTGATTGAACCTAAAGCTTCTTGAATGAATGAATGCATTATGAGTAGATAGAAATCGGTAGCCACTTGGATGTTTCTCAGCCCACATATAGAGCCAACCTCAAGGAATTTCAGTCTGAAGTGTTAATTGATAAACATTAAAGAAATTGGCCTGATGGAGTCTATGGTCTTTTATCTGATTTTAAAGAAGCAAATACACTCATTGAGTTCTCCTCAGAGTACCAGAAACCAACTACCCCTTGGTTCTGGAAGAAGAGAGCCGAGAAAGGAAACACTGTAGAAAGAAAGCATTATGCAAGGTTTGGTTTTTCAGTCCAAAGTGGGAGTAAATGGGAAATTTCACCACTCTCAGGTTACTCCATTAGGAGCCATCTGACTTTATAGTCTTTCATGCAGCATCACCAAGTCAATGACCCCAACTCCCCAAGGGCTTTGTAAAGGTCACAGCCTGGGCAGAGTGGCTTGCATTTTTCTTTTCATCATCTTAGTAATTTGGAACCTGAGATTCTAAACGTGTTTATTTTAATTTAAGGCAAAAAAATTAGGATAATAGTAATTTTAAAAGAATATGCCTGTGTCTGTGTAGACCCAAATCAACATGAAAAAGTCCCTAAATGATCCCTTTGAAGTGATGACTTGAGAGTACACAGAGAAAGGTAAATCATGTAATAGGATGGCTATGCTGGTTAGAACAAATGGGAACTAATTGATTTTCATGAAAAATAAGATGTAAAAAAAGGTAAACATAAAAGAACTTTTGTACAAGCTAAAACCTACTACTTAATGCACCCCAAATCGTGCCTCCATCGGCCAGTCTTACACATTTGGATTTTTCTTTCCTTAAAGCAAGAATTTTTTTCTACTCTACAAACCTGAGATCAGGAACATCCACTGTCATTTGGAGACTCATCCCCTGTACCCGAGGCTAAAGGCTGATATCCCACATGTCAAACCAAATCTCAGACTGAGAGTCAGATATTGGAGGGGCTTGGCAGGGAGGGGCTGGCATTCATGATGTTTTAAACTTGTCAACATTCGGACATGGGAAATTTCATATTTAAAAGCCAAACAAGTCATTTCTTTTGAAAAAGCAGAAGTTGCAGCAGTACGAAACCCTGCATCTCTGCCTGGGTGCTCGTCAAATAGAGAGTGGTGGTTACTTCCTCACGTTATCCAAGTTGCACTGGTCCCCTTAACTCCCCAGGCCCTCCGCTCACTCACACTCCTGCCAGTCCCCTGTGGGTCTTGGAGGTTTACTCCCACTGCTCTTCAGAAATGGCAGGCAGTTGATGATGAAATTGCTTCATCAGGGGCGCCTGGGTGGCTCAGTTGGTTGAGCGAGTGCCTTCGGCTCGGGTCATGATCCTGGAGTCCTGGGATCGAGTCCCGCATCGGGCTCCCTGCTCAGCAGGGAGTCTGCTTCTCCCTCTGACCCTCCCCCGTCTCATGCTCTCTCTCTCTATCTCATTCTCTCTCTCAAATAAATAAATAAAATCTAAAAAAAAAAAAAAGAAGAAATTGCTTCATCAACAGGCAGAAGAAAAGGTAGTTGCTGAGTTTCTCTCTTTTTCAGATTCAGTGCAGGACTGTCCACGTAACTGCCACGGGAATGGTGAATGCGTGTCCGGACTGTGTCACTGCTTCCCAGGATTTCTAGGAGCAGACTGTGCTAAAGGTACTTGCCACAACTTCCAGGCTATGGCTGGAAAACAAAACCTAGGCTTCTTGGTGGGAGTGGGGGGGGGGCAGCGAGCGAGGGTGCACCAAAGCAGCCTCCCCCCAAAATTCCACTGGGACAATTGTAAACTCATGCATGCTAGAAGGCCTAACCCTTGAGCCAAGAGCCGCCTTTAATATATGACAAGTAGCCAATATACCTATAGGAGCATGGAGGTTATCCTTGGCACCGAGGTGTGCTGAGAAGAAAGATTTGCTAAAAATGAGATGGTTGGATTTCCTGTAAAAGCAAAAGTGAATTACCATCACTCCTTTCTTATAATCATTAAATTCTATGTAATGGAAGATTAAGCATCTCAGGGTTAGTAAATTTCATTCATTCTGGCCAGCTACACTCTTAATCTAGGAAGCGCTATTTATCTTGGTGGAATCGGTTTTAAATTGTATTATTAATTTATCTACACTCCTTTGCATAGAATTGCTGGGGCCCTGGGATTCTTGGGGGAAAGGTAATATAAGAGAAAATGACTCTCACAAGAACAGGGACTTAGGGGCTGCATATCTAGCTTGCAAGAGACCTTGAGCATAACCTTCAAGGGGGTCTATCAGAGGCAAGCGTAGTGGAGAACAGAGCTTCTCACACTTTTTAGATACACTGTGCACACGCATACACACGCACGTGTATGTTCTAGGTAAATACAACTATAAAATTAAAATTAAACTTTCACAAAACTATACTTCTCTTTACTCCATAATTCTTTCTCTATTCTACTCTATTTCATTAAAAAAAAAAAAAAAAAAAAAACAGTGAAAACCAACTACCCTGATTCCTCACCCACCAGGAGGTCACACCCCGGTCTGAGAAGCAGTGAGGGAGAGGTTCAGGGCCCTTGCTGAGGAGCCAGACATTCCTGCGTTGAACCCCAGCTCTGCCACTTGAGGGCCTGTGTGACCTTGAGCAAAGGATCTAACACGTCTGAGTCTCTGTTTCCTCTTCTGGAAAAGTTGGGGGTTCCTTCACACATCCATTGTGAGGATGAGATGAGGTAAACACACCCAAAGCTCTTAGCAGAACATGTTGTGATCCCTCAAAGGGTTCATATTTACCATTTTTATTTATGGATATGACATTATATTTATTTACATATTTATATAATATTTTTATGTGCTCGCCTTTAAAAGACCATCCTGTTTTGATGCTCTGAGAGAGGCAATTATTAACAAAGCTACTCTGTAAATGCTGAATAGTGCCACCCCTTTTTCCCATGCTCGCCACAGTTGCTGGGGAAAACTGTATTTCAGATATTCACAGTATTTCAAAGATGGGTGATCCCCAACTTTCGGAGTGCAGACTGCTGAGGGAATGGGACTTCCTCGTGCATGAAGTTCTGGATTTGGTTGTGCGTGTGTGCGTGCATGAGACTAATTCCTAAATGACGCCACCTACCGACATATCCTCTATCACGAAATAATGCAAACGTTTTGGTAAACTCATCAGATACAAAAGGAAAAAAGAGCTAGGGGCCACCAGACTGTCACCTCTGCACACTCTCCGCACACTCTAATGGCATGTGGACACCTGACCAAGTAGACCATGGAGGCTGGAGCTCCTACCCTTGAGTGCTTTGCTCAGTCAGGCTCTGAGGCACCGTGATGGGGGGCAGGTGGATGACACAGTGCATCCCTGTGCTGAGCACCATTCCTGGTGAATGCTATAAAGGAGGGAAAACCTCAATATCGTTTGAATGGCCTTTCTTGCGTTATCTAATTTTCCTAGGAGCAAAGGCATCAATGAGAGGAAGGACGGAATGGTCCTTTCACATGTGGCTGCAAATGGGCTGAACCCGCCACTGCATGGCCTGTGAGCTGTAAATGTATATTAACACTGACACACATCGATGTATTATTAATCCTAAAAAGCATGTGTGCTCTGGCAGCACATCCAGTTACTGGCCTTTCAGCCCTAAGTACCTCAGCCATTTAAGAACTCCTCGCTCTAAATCCATTTGCAGATGGGCGTCCATTCTGCATTATGGATCTGTAATGGGGTGTGCATTTAGCTGCTTAAAAGGACTCTCGGTGTGTGTTTTGCATTCACCACCTGAACTGTGGCTGGGTGCACGCTCCAAGTGTGCATTAGCCATGGTATATAATTGATCCTAACGAAACAAATATCGAGCGGCTGTTAAGAGTAGTTACTCCTGCATACTCAGGAGCTGTTCCTGAAATCAGCCTTTGAACTTGTATATTTTAATTTAGCTCTTGATGCCTACAGTGGACAAAATTGAAGTATTTATTATTATTTTTTTTTAAAGATTTTATTTATTTATTTGAGACAGAGAATGAGATAGAGCATGAGAGGGTCAGAGGGAGAAGCAGACTCCCTGCCGAGCAGGGAGCCCGATGTGGGACTCGATCCCGGGACTCCAGGATCATGACCTGAGCCGAAGGCAGTCGCCCAACCAACTGAGCCACCCAGGCGCCCAAAATTGAAGTATTTAAAGAATAAAATTGTTTTCTCCTTGTCTCCCTATTTATTCCTGGAAAATTTGCCTTAAGAGCGTTAGAAGTACACTGCCTCTGTGCCCTAAAGATACTTCTTCCTTAGTATTTTTGAAATGGACGCAGTTTGAGCTCTTTCATTAACAACAATATTGGGAAATATTCCAAGCCTTTCTTTCCTGAACTCTTTCGTGTACCGCCTTTATGATTTTTGCCAAATTCATGGGCCACCTATATTATTAATTATCGAACATATTTCTTTAAGTCAACTCACTATGTTTGGGTTTTTTAAGATTTTATTTATTATTTATTTGACAGAGTGAGCATGCGCCCAAGCTAACACAAGCAGGGGGGAGAGGCCGAGGGAGAGGGAGAAGCAGGCTCCCCGCTGAGCAGGGAGCCTGGGGGCCCAATCCCAGGACCCTGGGGCCATGACCGGAGCTGAAGGCAGACGCTTAATGGACTGAGCCACCCAGCGCCCCTCACTACGTTTACACAGATAAATTTCTTCTAAAAGGAAGAATGTCAAAATCCAAAATTTTTTAAAAAGAGAAAAGTTGTCAATTGCAATAAGTAGGAGATGTTAGTGCCACCTTTGACCTATCAAGAGAGGAATATTTTCACAGTCATGAGCATTCAAGCCAAGTCAGCTTCTCACACACTTTTTCACATCAAGAATCCCAAAAGTGGACCTGAGCCCATGTGCACCAGCCTGGCTTCGAGAGAGACTCAAGCCTTGAACATCTCATTTTCTAAATATTAGCTCCTGAGAGTAACAAAAATCGCTAACTACACCTGTGTGATGAAGTGAGCAACCAGAAAAAATAGGCACACAGCTTTAACGGTACGAGCTTCAAGTGAGTAAATGTAATGATAAGCACCTGAGTACCTTGTGAGTTAAGCCTCCACTTTAGATTGTTTTTAAATAACAACTAATAGTTATTAAGTATTAAACATCTACCAGGCATTGCAGGAAGTACTTAAAACATACCATCTTATCCTTTCTCATATCAATAATATGAAATAAATCCTATTTTAACTACCCCCGCCATGTTTTAAGGTTTTTTTATATTGAAATCCTTTCACACTTGTAGACAGGTTGCAAAAATAGCACATAGAGCTCCCGTACAGAATTCTCCTAATGTCAGCATTTTAAATTATCATGGTTCAGTCACTGAAACGAGGAAATTAACACTGAAGCAATGCTCTTGACTAATTTACAGACTTTTGTTTTTTTCCAATTTGCCCCTTTTTTTTTTCTGGTCCAGACCCCACATTGTATTTAGTTGTCATGTCTCCTTTGTCCCCTCCAATCTATGAAGGGTTCTCAGTCTTTTCCTTGTGTTTCATGACCTCAATCATTTTGAAGAGTACTGGTCAGGCGTTTTTTAGTATGTCCCTCGATGCGGGTTTGTCTGATGTTTTCTCGAGATGAGGCTGACGTTGTACATTTTTAGCAAGATGCCGTGCCCTCGTCGGTGAATCTTATCAAAGACGCACCTCTGGTTTTTAATCAGATAAAAATTAGAATGTGGTTACGTGTGAGTGTGCGTGTGTGTGTGTGTACGTGTGCGTGTACCTTCCCACCAGAGCTGTGAGGCTCTACCCCATTGGTCCTGCACAGTTTGTCAGTGGCTATGACAGATTGCCACCCACAAACAGCTTATGAGCCCATGAAGCTCCGAAGTGTGCGCAGGAGGTAAGTGGAGCCGACAGGGTGAGGCAATCATGCTCGCAAGCGCAGAGGAGAGACATCTGGCCCTGAGTCTCCTGCCACGCAGACCGGCACATGCCATCTCCCAGCTGTGGCCCATGATCGCTTCTCTTCTTTCTTGATAAAAGCCTTAGGAGGGCCCAAGTCCCAAGTCCTCGCTCAACACAAACTCCCGTTTGCTGTGTTCCCCCCTGACGGCTGTGCCCAGGATGCCTCCAGTCCTGCCAGAGGAGAGATTTGCCATTAGCAAGTGGAATTCCCATCACATCCGAGCAACCAGCTATGTGTCCAAGTGACAGAAATACGGATTTACTCTCTTGACCTCACACTGCGCCTCCCGTGCCCTCAGATGTGCGGTGCAGACAGCGGCTCCTTGTCTTCTTAGAAACCTGCCAGTCTGCATCAGGCATCTGAAGACAGCCTTGCAGTGAATGGAGGAATCAGTCAGCATGAATTTGCAGAGCATTCATTCCACAGCCCCCACCGAGCTGGGGCCCTGAGGGGCTCAGAAGTCAAAATGGAACCGACCCTCACATCAAAAGAATGTGTAAGGGTTCTAACACATTGTTCCAAGTCAGTTGAGGGGACAGAACTCACTCGTGCATCCAACAAAGGCTTATTATGTGCTTGCTATGAGTCAGGTACTGCACTAAGCGCCAGAAATACAACGATGAGCAAGCAGGCCAGGGCCCTGCCTTCTGAGAGCTTCCAGTTGGCTGGATGCACAGGATCAGCGAGTGTGAAGTGCACATGTTAAGTCTTAAATGAGTGATGTGGACTTT